GCCTATGGGGGATTCACTTAGCTCGTGGGACGTCAGAGCCGTCTCGAAGGCGTCTGGCGAGTTGAGCATGAGGACAACCGTACCCAGCAGGAAGTCCTCCGGCTCTTGGCGCGCAGCGTGGGCCTCCTCCGCGCGCTCGAACAGCAACTCTCGCACCACCCTCGCCTCTAGCGCCTCCGCCACGTGAAGCACCGCCGAGAGCATCCAGTGGGTGAACTCCTCCGTGCTGCTGACGGGCAGGCTCGCCACCGAGGCGAGCAGGGCTTCGGCACTTGTCGGCGACGGGGGCGACTCGTACCTCGGGTTTCGGCGAGGGCTCTCCCTAGTGCGGCGGCTGGCGAGTTCCGTCAGCTTGTCGAAGTGGGCGAGCCGCCGGGCCTCTGGCCCACAGAGCGCCGGGAGATCCGTCTCGCTGTCGCTGCCACTGCTGCTGTCGCTGCCGCCGTCATCGACGCTGCTGCCACCGCTGCTGCTGTCGCTGCCACTGCCGCCGCTACCGCGGCTACTGCTGTCGCCGCCGCTGCCGCCGCTGCCGCCGCTACCGCGGCTGCTGCTGCTGCGGCGGTCGTCCTCGCCGCCGCCCACATCGGCCGTGCCGGTCGACGTGGTAGATGGGGCGACGCTCGCGCTCTCCCTGCTCGAGGGGGCGCCATCGCCAGCGTCGCCCGCGCCCGACTCCTGGGGCGCGGCCGGCGGCGCCGCCGGCGCTGCGCGCGCGGGCGGCCCCGCGGGCCCTGGGGCTGCCGTCGAGCCAAGGTTGAAACCTGGTCCTCCATCCACAGGTTCTCTCTCCGCCCTCCCTCCACCTTGGTACGCCGCGCCCTCCCCAACCTCGTCCTCCTCAGTCGCGAATTCCTCTTCCTCCTCTGCGATGGGAGGCAGCGACTGGGGCAGGGCGGCGGGGGTGGCGGGCACGGATTGCCAGGTGAAGTTGCGAGTTGTGATCGCTCGGCGTTTTTCGTTGAGGATGCGCACGCAATCACGGTTGGTGTTGATTCCCGGGCCGAGGTAAAAACACTTTTGGGCTTTTGGCTCGGACTTGTGTGTGCGCTTGACCTTGTATACGGCAGGTTTGAGGAACGGGTACGTCGCCCCCGACGGGGGAGGGTGCCCGTGCCACATCTCGTACGGCGACTTCTCCTCTGGGTTGGATGTGGTGGAGGTGCAGTTCAGGGCGTTGCATGACCAAGCTATGGCCTCGGCCCAAAGGGATGGGTAGTTCGGTGCTCCGGGGTAAAGAGTTGGCGCTTGGATACGGGCGGCTAGTGCTGCATCCTTGATCAGACCCAGTGCTCTCTCAGCTACGCCGTTGTATTCTGGGCTGTGTGCGGGGGTGACCTCCTGTTTGATGCAGTACTTCCGGCACACCCTGCCAAACTCTCCCTAAAAAACTCTCCTCCATTGTCGGATCTCACGACCATGACAGCGGACGGGGCACCGTCTGCCCGGTTTTCTGCAAGGTACCTCTCGAATGCCTCAGCGGCGTCTGATTTGTGCTTCAGGAAATAGACACGGTTTCACCTTGTGTAATCATCCTTGACAATGAGAGTGTACCACTTCCCCCCCACGTTCGGAGCTGTACTGCCTCTAATCCACCAGCGACGAGGCCCAGAGGAGCCTCCAAGCGTTCCATTTTGTGACCAATATCATCGTCAGAGAAGCCGACAAGGTGATCGTGAACAAATGCGAGACCGTAAAAGAGATCCNCAAGTGAGAAATACTAGGTTGTAGTCTAGTAGGGGAGCGTGTGCAACCCGTTTCAGCAACAGGTCGGTTGTACCGTCGCGCGAGCTAAGGGT